TGACAGGCAGCCCAGAATGGCTGGGCTCATAAAAAGGAACTCTGGCGAACGTGAGAATGAGTAAGCCGCCAAAAGTGTAAGTGTCGAGTGTGTGAGAGGGCCCACACGCACCGCTCCGTGGCGGTTCCAAGAGTGTATGTGTGTGTGTGTGTGTGTGAGTCATACTGTGGAAGTGTTCAGCTATAGCATTAGTCACCGCTGAGGAGAGACCTTGATCTGTAGCCCTGTCTGATCAGAGTGGAGGAGAGAGGGAAAAAAATGGAGGGAGGCAGGGAGGGAGGGAGGCAGGGAACGACAGAACAAAAACTCATTCACCTCTTTTCTTCCTCCAGGGCTGCCATGAGAGCAGGGGAGTGGCCATTTTCCAAAAAAGACAAGGCGAAGAGGAGAAAATGAAAGCAAGCCTGGTAGCAGTGACTTCAGTATTAGTCTGCGTGTTCAAATGTGCACCATGTCAGCAGAAACTTTCAGCGAGTCGCTGCTGAGCTTGAATATTAAACGCACGCTTATTAGCACGGGGGAGGGAGTCTGTGGTCAGTCCGGTCCTGTTTAAGGGTGACAGGATGTGCACGTGGCTGTATGTGTGTGTGTGTGTGTGGGCGGCTGTGTGTGGGTGGGTGTTACTGTGTGGGTTTCTGGGTGTGGGTTTTGATTATAGGCCTTCGTGCCAAGAACTCTCAGCACTTCTGTCTGACACAACAACAACAGCAAAACGGAGTGCAGCAGATGTGCAGATGCTGATAAGGACGTCACACACACTGATTATGACTCTCTTACACTCTTAAAAATAAAAGTTTCTAAATGCTTCCAAGAAAAAACACGTTATATAAGAAGGTTCTTCATGCTTTTGTTTACATACATGTCTTATTTACAAAAATGGTTCTCAAAGCTTTAGGGAACCAAAATCCATTATTTCCTTCTAATTAGGTTAATCCTGCTCTTGTGGGCAAACAATAAACAGTGGGGTCCAAAAGTCTGAGGGCACAGGGAAAATCTGGGATTTTTTTCCACTTAATAAATATAAATATAATAAATAAACACAGACTAGTCATCCAGTCAGTTTGTCAACTTAACTGCTCAGCGATGATGCTTTAAGCTTAATGTCGACTAGTCACAGATCACATGATTATGACACTAACAACATGGAGGCCTCAGAGAAGACAACAGTTGAGGAGCCTGGTGATTACGCGGCCAGTATCTCCGGTTTCCTGAGGGCTAGCAATGCAGTCCAGGGCTTGCTGGAAAGGGCACGTCATGCTGTACTTAATTGTTGACATTAGCTTCATTCTAACATTTCTCTGTCGATCAAATCAGATGTTGAACCTCATTATCTCCAGTTTTAGAAAGACTACAATAAAAAGCCATGTGCGATTGGAGAGGGAGAATAACGCCCTATAATCCTGCTAAGTTTGAAGTTGGTTATTCTTATTTTCCCTGATTTACAGCACTCTAAATTTCTCTGGACCTCCACCATGGGCAAGCATCTCGGCAAGGCCGCCTAGGGTGCGCCTAAAGCCGGGCTTACACTAAACAACTTTTACACCGATCTTAGCCCTGCTTCTCAGTCTGGCGGAGTCTGTGTTAGTTGGCTCTAGTCTGCAGATTTTTGGGTCAGTCGGAGTCGGCAGTTGGAGAGAGAATCAAGTCGTGTGTGTGAGGGGCGCAGACTCAGATTTTTGGCCTCCCGATCGCGTTTTAGACCAGTCGGAGTTTATCAAACATGTTTGATTTTATCAACCCGACTCTGCAATCTAGTAGTGGTCAACAATTTAATCTGAATGAACTCCTGCAACAGCCAATGGAAACAGAACAGAAGAAAATACAGCAAGTAAACAAAGAAAAATGGCAAAAAGTCACTCACATGTGGAGTGAAGTTTTTTAGTGCCTTTGAGTTTAAGGCACAAGCACAGTCGAGTTTATGTACAGTTAAAACTCTAAAAATCACATGCTGATCACGTTTTTAAATCCTTGACCCTCACTTAAACATATTTACCCTCTGCTTTTGCTTTTACTGTATCATTGCAAATGGCGGAGGAAGCAGCAGCAAGGCGTACCACATTTGTTTATTTGCGTCTCCTAGAAATGGGAGAACGTGAGAGTTCGCATAAGTTTGCGTGAGTTCAGTGAGTTCCGTTCAATTCAGCAGCAGTGTAAAAGTTGAGTAGTGTGTGATCCCTAATCATTTAATGTGTGCTCCCTAATGTTTCAGTCGCCCAAAAAAATCTGCACAAAACAGTCGGATAGTGTGAGATGCCCTGTCTTTTTATAACCTGTTAAGACTTGAAAAGTCGTGTAGTTAACCCAAGACTTAAGTTGCATACAAATTTGCAAGATTGTGGAGCAGTATCTCCGGTTCCCTGAAGGCTAACAGTGCCATCCAGGGCTCATTGAAAAGGGCATGTCACACTCTACTGACCTGTGGATTGTGACCTTGTAACAGATTTTAAAAACTTGGAATTTTAAAATCATTTGTTGCAAAAGATTCCCTTCTCCTATGTGTTTTTCATGATGTCATCAGCAATTAGTTGACATCGACTCGACTTTCACCACATAACTGTCGACTTTAAAAAATCTGAAGTTGTGCAACCCCTATAAATAACGGAGTGTTAGGTGCAGAATTAAAAAAAATGGAAAACAAAGAAAAGTAAAATGAATAAGAAATATTCAAGATTCTACACTATTTCTGTGTCACTATTCAAATTGAAGCAAATCTGTGACATTATCCATATTAAGGGCTTTATACAAGAGTCTGATCACAACCATTCAAACACAAGTTCAGTTTCTCTCTCAGGTGGTTCTGATCTACTCATCAGAGGTTTTTGTACAAACTTGTGGAGTCCAAGCCAGCTGGAGGACACGCTGTCATTAGAGCAAAAGGGGGAGATACCAAATGCAAAGAAATTCTGAGTTTCATGTAAATTTTTCATAGATCCTAATTTTCCCTCAAACTGTTAGACTGGTAATATAATTTGTAATAAAAAAACAGACTTTTGCACCCAACTGTACATGCACAGAGCCTGCCCTAGGAAAAACATTCCAGTGTAACCAATGGATTTCCCCCAAATTCTCAACCTTCATATGTGTGAAACCAGGCAGTCTAAATCTTGGGTAAAGCTTAGTTAACCCTTATCCTTACCAATCACAAGCTTGATAAGGCTTGTCTCACCTTCATAGATTTAACAGAACTATGCATTGCCTACATATTTTCTCTGTTTGAACAGGAAAAACCTACTGAGCAAAAGCTAACAACAAGCGAAAGTTACAGTAACCAGCATGCATAACTGAGCTTTCAATCTGTCTGTCTGCCTGTTCTATGTTTGTTCTTTTGTTTATCCACCAGCATACCAGTGTTCTGTGGATGCATATCTAGAAGTAAATACCTTCTTTGTACATCTTTACATATGTATAGTTGTTGGCCACTTTATTACAAAGGCCCTACGTTGTTGGCACACAGGTGTACAGTTAGAGATTATAAACAGTAGAGATTATTTTCATGCACAGTTTGTGCATCCTCTAGCCCCTCATCAGAGGTCAGTTTCTGACCAAAGGATATTTATTGTTGGTGGATTATTCTCACCCCAGCAGTGAGCGACATTCTCCAAAAATTACAACTCCAAAAATTAGTAACAACCTGAACATGGCCAATGCTGGAGAATGTGTAGTAATATGCCAGCTGGTGATTCTCACATTTTTTGAGAGTGTCCTAATATTTCTATATACTTCTCCTGAGTAGATGTGGTAACAGAGGTCAGATCAACAATCAACTCAGATCAATCAATTTCAGCGTTATCTATTTTGGAAACTGGGCTGAAAAAGCAGGATAGTAAAAAAGCAATAACCAGGAAACAGTTGAGGAAAGAGTCTCCAATAATCAAGAAGTAATCTAGGAATTTTATGCCATGGAATGATTGCCTTGTTTGCTGGGACATTCCACTAAAACATGTCAAAAATACTGGAAGAACTGGAAATCTTATTTGAATCTAAAGGAATTTCTTTACTATATTTGTTTTGCCTGGAGAACTTTTTGTTTCCTTCTGTACTAAGGCCAATGGAATTGGATTTTAGACTATAGTGGAAGACCCCTCCCTCTTTAAAAATATGGCCTTGCAAGGCCAAGTCATGGGCCATGAAGACCTCTATGATTTCAAAGGACAATTATGGACATAAAAGACGCACAGACCTTTATACTATAATGTGATCCAGCCTCTTTTCAATTCCCGTCTCTCACGATGTTACCTTCCCTATATTGACCCTACCTATAGTCCCTTGGTCTGTCTGTTGTTTGTTGTTTTCTGTAAGAACTCCATAAAAATAAGGTTAAAAACTGTACTGCACTCATATCACCACCACACAAACAACCATGGCTTTACTATCAGTGTCACTGCGAAGCTGAGAGTGGTCCACCACCCAAATAATGACCAGTGGTGGTCCCCTTTCATTGCATTGCTAATAGAAAGGGATGCTCTGGAGCAGCTGCACACGAGGTCACCTAAGGTCACAATGTCCAAGCATCTAGAGGGGTGGAACAGCATTCTCTAGAGTGATGGAGCTCCATCCAGTACCTTTGGGATGAGCTGGAGTGACCCAGAACTAATTATTCAACATCAGCTCCTGACCTCACTAATGTTCTTGTGGCTGAATGCAGTCAAATTCTCACAGCAATGTTCCAACATCTGGATGAGCACCTGTCTACAAACCTTTGGGCATACAGTGTAAATGGATCTAATAGATGGCAACTCAGTGTATGCAAATTTCATCTTGTCATGCTAAACACTCATTACACCATGTCTGTCATGCTGAAATACCTGGCTATGATATCATTCAGTGTTCCTCCCCACTTAATCCATCAGGCAGCCTCTGCAGTCATTCCACTGATGTAAATCAGTCAGTTGTCTCCAGGTAATACATGAATCATGGAGGGTGTGTCTTTACCTTTGCACACACTGCCAGAGTACCTGGCTGATGATATGGTGTGATTGCACAGAGATGACATCATGTGTTTTAGCCTTAGTGATTAGAGGTAGATCAACCAAACAATGCTAATGTTGTTAGCAGTGAGCGACTCCATGAAATGCCTGTAGCATCCATGCGAGACAAGGTGAGATTATCTTTCCAGACGTTTGAAAATGCCACTGACATAACTCAGTGAATTAGCACATATCCAGTAATGCAGACTAGCATGCCTACACAGCGAGTGGAGTTTCTGATTAGCCGTTAGCATATTTCTCTTTTATTTTCCTTTTTTCTGAAAGCTTGGTCACTATTAGTCTCACGGTGCCAGACGTGATCTCTTAAGGAGAGTGATTGGGGACAACCAGAAGAAATTTTGCGCTAAGTGTAAGCTTCCCAGATAGCAAGCACATATTGGTCCGCTGGCTTGATATGTTCGGCACCCCACTGACTGTTTGCCACTGCTGGTCCACCCTTGAACCACCCAGATTACTGTCCTGCAAACAAGCTCTAACTAGTTTTTTAACCTTCTCAAACAGATTTTAAATGCACAGAGACTTTTATTTTGGAATATAACTTTAGACAAACATTAGGCCTGATATAAAATGATTTTAAAGAAAATGTTACCGCTGACACTGTGATAGATGAAAATGATTTACTAAACTAATTTAGGTTTAAAAAGTATACCTAAAGAAAGGAACGAAGGGAAAATAAGTAAACTGGACTGTAAATGGAAAATGAGCGATGATAAGTGGAATTTTGTCTACGACTCTGCATAACCACCAGTGGGCCGCCCGGAAAACGCAGAGCAAACCCCACTGGACCACCAACTTTGCCATCAGTGGGCCGACAGGGGTCCACTATCCTCTTGCTATCAGGGTAATTAGGGTATGAACAAACTGAGTATTAAATTTGTAAACCAATTCAACTCTTTTGAAGGAGGAGCTCAAAGTAGGGGGCGCTGATACACTGTCTGATGGACAACAAGTCTGTTAGCCCTTAGATGTAATGTTAGCAGTAAGTTAGCATGGCTGAAAAGTCCCCCAGAAAGCTCCACTTAAGCATGTAGACATGTGTTACATGCGCAGAGGTCACATTACATGTGATAAAAATAAACCCCACTTCTTGCAAGAAAAAGACAGTTCTGTAAGCTAATGATAGCTTTTTGTTAGCTTGCTTGTTCAGCTTATAATATTGATAATATTGTACTCTAGACATTAAAAGAGCACAGACTACTGGAACTGGGGGTGGGTTTTAGAGGTGGTGTACCCTTGTAGCCCTGTCCAGTACCAAAACTTTAACAATTGTCCCAAGATATATATTTAACCCCTTAAATGACCAGGACCGGGTTAAACCGGTTGTACTTATGTTTTTGCGTTTTTACACACCAAAATTCTTCAACTTCAACCAATTAACATTCATCAGGCAACATCTGTTACTTTTTTTTTAAAAAGCAGCTGAAAATGTTTTTATTTAGCTTAGCATAATGTTAGGTTCCTGTTTTTATTTCAACTTTTATTTTTTTTCATTCAATTGTTCTTATTTTTCATTCTCATTCTATGTTTATTTTATTCTTTTTTATACTTTAATTTTTTAGTTGTTCATATGTCATGTATTCATTTATCATTATTATCTCATTATTTAACAAGCATTTCTTTCAAATAGTTTTTATTTTGCGAATGGGTTTTTGTTTTGCTATTTACTATATTATATATATGATTTTGATGTTTTATTCAATGTCATTGTGAAGCACTTTGAGCTGCATTTCTATGCCTAAAAGGTGCTGTATAAATAAAGATATTATTATTATTGTAACTGGTCTACATTTAGACTTACAAGCAGCTGGTGCAACTGGCCCCTGGTCCAGCCAACAAGTCCAAACTTTTATTACACAACCCTGTAACCTAAGAATAATTCAACAAGTTTGCATCGTGGTCTGCATAGCTTCAGGATAATAAATCTTAGGATGTAAAAATCCTGGGATTTTAATGGGGTTGAGCACTTCTGTTTATTGTAATTCTATTTATATGCTTCACTAAGCTAAAACATTGTGATTTTACAGTGTTTTAAGCCCTTAAAATCCCAGGCTTACTACATACTAAGGCTTATTAGTCAGTAACTACAGACTTCAATGCAAACTTGCTGAGCTATTCTTAGGTTATAGAAGTGTGTAATAAAATTTGGGCCTGCCGTCAGGCCCTGGCCATTTAAAGGGTAAAACATGGCATTCTGGGATTTGAATTCAAAAGTGCAGATGAGAAACATGACAGGTGTTGATCAGTCAGCAATACCATGTTCCCTTGGATATATAGCCTAGGTAGTGCACTATACTATAACTATTACTAACTATAGAGGAGTTGGGCGGTACGTTAGGCCAAAACTCAAGGTAATGACAGGTGTTGATCAGTGAGCAACAGTGTTGCATTGGATATATAGCCTAGGTAGCGCAGTATAAAAGAGTAGGGACTTATTTTAGGCCAAAAACTCAAGTTCTTGGAACTAAAAGGAACCCAAGCAGCTATTATTATGGGGTCCATAACTAACTGGACATAACTAACTTTATAGACTCCATTTTTTAAATTCATTCATTATTAAACAACTTAAGATGTTAAGTCTCTTATTTTGTACTAGTAGCATAAAAAATCAGGGGATAAAAAGTACTTAGAGCTGCCATTTCATTACCTTATGTAAGTAATGAAAGGTTCTAGATTCTGAGATTAGACCAACATAATACAGAGAACTGCCATTTGATCACTGCATATTTATGTTTATTAAGCTTTTAAGCTGTTGCTTTTGAAGCCGGTGAGCGTGTGTTAACTTGCAGCAGTCCCGTGCTAATACGGGGTTAGCATGTCTCCCTGACGGAGGTGAAAATAGTTGTTTATCCTGAGATATGCTGACGAAATGAGATAAGTGGCAGCTATGCAACTCTCTGGAGCTCTCTGGACCCTGTAATAAAGCAGTTAGGTAGACAGGTGTCAAAGGACAGATGTAACCACACCTACCGCTATTTCTGTCTGCCGTCTATTTCTGTGCTTGGACTCATCCGTGCTAGCTGGCACTGAGGAGCAAGTGCAGACACCCCAAAGGCCCTGCGTGACCCAGATACACTGCAGCCTTGTTCTTGTGGCTTTGTCTCCTACTCTTTTTTTCTCATTCTCACCAACTAGATGATAAAAGTGAAGGCGAGCCGTGTTCATTTTCCGAATGGATGAACTTCAGCACAAATTGAATCATAAAAATGGAGATCCCTTTTTTTTAGTGATCAAATGTCAAGACCACTGTTTTGTCACCTTGTATCTCCTTTCAAAGCTTTGTCACTCAAATGAATTTCATTCCACTCACGTTCTTCTTCATTTGTTCGCGAAATGAAATTGTGTTCCAATTGAAACTGCGTTTCACTGACAGACTGTTCCATTATTTGTCTGCCTTAGGTGGAGGCACATTACTGGAAGGGGAGTTGGTCATGACTGGGCTTGCGGTGAGGGGTGTGAGAGGCCCTGTGTCCTGGGTGAGATTATCCCAGGCAGGCCAAGGGCCAGTGAGACAGTCTACAAGAACGAGGTGTTGCTATGAATCATGGGAGAAATAGTATGGCCTGAATGCAACTCTACAATCTGTTGCCTGTTAACAACCCCCTCCCGCCCCTTCTGTATGCTGCATGCTGTAACACGTTGGCTCCAAACGGTCCCTAGCGAGAGTAGATGTTAACACCTCTGAGTTTATGGAAAAATAAGAGGACTGAGACCTATAATGGGTGGGTTTTAATTTTAAAGGCACTGTTTCAAGGAAAATCTATTTTTTTGTTGACAACTGGAAAAACGTAGTCTGGTCTGATGAATCTCGATTTCTGCTGAGGCGCACAGATGCTAGGGTCAGAATCCGGCACCAACATCATGAATCCATGGACCCAACCTGCCTTGTGTCAACAGTCCAGGCTGGTGGAGGTGGTGTAGTGGTGTGGAGAATGTTTTCTTGGCACACTCCAGGCCCATTAATACCAATCAATCATTGCTTGAATGCCACATCCTTTTTAAGTATTGTTGCTCACCATGTACATCTCTTCTTGAGGCTGTTTTGAGAGCAAAGGTAGGACCACCCAGTATTAGCACAGTGCTTCTTATAAAGTGCTGAGTGAGTGTGTATTCTTTTTCTATATTCTTTTCTATAGGGTATTTAATGAAAAGTATACATGTGTAACCTACTGTTCTTTATTTCATTATTTTATGCTCTTTTTTGAGCAGTTTTTTTAAGCTAAAACCACAAAACTTTGCAGGATCACAGGGCCTATATGGGAATAGTGGCTTGTGCTTTTGGCACCGATTACACATATAGTTTTTCTACAGAGTTTGTTCAAACACAATTTTTTTTTATTCCCATAGGAAATGATTGGTGGACTGTGGAGAAAATTTAGATCCATCTGCCACAAATGATGTCACAAAGGACACCTATACCATAGCGATGGCCTAGCAACAGCTCAGCAACCCCATGGATGCCACAGCAACAGCCTAGCAACACTTTAACAACCACAAGGGATTTCAAAGCAATGGCGTTTTCAAGCCAGTTTAAAGATCATTTATAAACTTTCCTATTCTAGTTAATGTTTACCCCTTACTATGTATTAAATATACTTTAATACGTTGTAAATAGTGAAGTATTTCATTACCCTGTGTAAGTAATGAAAGGTTCTAGATTCTGAGATTTTAGAACGTAATTAGTATACATTGCTGTTTTCACACTGTCAATATACATTGATGTACTGATACACTTAAGTGCTACATATTGAGTAATAATAACTAAAATGAATTTTAAATATTTTCAGTGTCAGTAAATAAATGTTAATGCATTTGACAAATTAAACATGTTTAAGTGTACTTTTATAATGCGTAATTAGCATACATTTAAATATATTATTTTGGAGCTAACTGAACACAACTCATATGTGTAAGTTAAGTTATCTATAAGGTATAAGTATATATTTTAGCTATATAAGTATAAGTTATATACTTATATTTAAGTAATGTTGAAATACATCTTTTGTGCTTTTCTGTTCTAAATCGGAACAACTAATGTTTCAATGAAATTAACTGAAGCAATTGTTAAGACATAAATTCTACTACACTTGAAATATATTTTAACCCATTAAAATCCCAGGCTTTTTACATACAGGACTTATTATTCAGCAGCTACAAGAACTTCGGCGCAAACTGGCTGAGCTATTCTTAGGTTATAGAAGTGTGTAATAAAACTTTGGGCCCATTTAAGGGGTTTAATATATTTTACACTTTTGAGTGTACCTATATTTCATTTCTAGATAGTTTGAGTTACATTGCAACTGGAAAGTGACTAAAATGTAAAGTGACTGAAATGTACTAAAGCATATATTAAAAGTTATTGCTTTGAAATAAACTTACCAAATAATGCACTTAAGTATGCTTCAGCTTGTTCAGAAATACATTTATTCAAGTGGCTTTGCTTACACTTCAATTTCCTTACCATTAAATGTCTTACTTAAAAATGTACTTTTCAAAAAATGCAGAAAAGGCTATTTTAGGTGTACTTTCATAAAACGTATTAAATAAAAAATGTAGCTTTAGTATTTTCTATGTACTTCAAGTGTACTATTGATGTTCTATTGATATAATGCATGTTTCACAGAGCTTTTGTACACTAAAATCACAGGAAACAAACATTTGTTTATCAAGCTGAATGTGATCTAATCAAGTTATATTTATTCATAGAGTGCATGTAAAACAACGGCTGTTGACCAAGAGCCATCATCAATACAAATACAAGCCAGCATCAGTAACAATTAGTTATCATCTTTGCACCCCATGACAACACTGAGTGTGTTTACATGCACTTAAGAATATAATCATTGTCAGATTTCTATCTGACAATTTCTATCTATCAGTTATTCAAGTGGTCATGTAAACAGCACACTACAATCTCTTAGGTTGGATTAAGGTCTAGAAATCTATTGAAGTAACCAGATAAAGAGAGCTGGATTTTAGCTCAGTATTTGGGTTTTTTAGTGTATGTATACCGTTACTCTGATTTCTTTCACTTTTCTCATTCTCATCATGTGCAAAAACAGATCGCAGTCCCAGGAATAGCAAACAGCATTTAACACAGCAACCATGTGATTGCAACAAAACACTCTTAGAGTGATGCTGAAACCAACATGCTTGAGAAAATTAAGGTTTTAAGTCTTCTTCATCTTCAAGATGATGTATATTCATATTTTCCGCTAAAGTGACTCAATGTTAAAAAAAATGTGGTATGGCATTTGAGTGTTTGCGTCACATCTTATGCTGTGAGTTTATTGGCCGGTTGCAAAGCATAAATCTGATTACTGCCTGGCTCATATAGAGCCCATGTTTTCTGATTACCCAAGTACATGTAAATGTGTTGAACGAATAACTGACAAAATCTCAAAAGTAAGATATAGTTTCTGGATGAAGTGAAGTTCACAGTCTTTCAAAATTCAAGAGTTTTGTATAATTCCAGCCATTGTATACTACATGGTTTCTCATGGGTCTGTTTTTGTGTAGAACCATTTTGACATTCAGGAAGCATCGAGACAGTCCTTGTCCACGCTGAGTGTGTAAACCTACAAGACTTTCTGGTGATGGACTATATTTCAGCATAGTCTTACAAAGCATGCAGTTTGATAGTAGAATTGGTTTCATCTCATGAAGTTTTTCCACACTAACAAAGTATGCTAGGATTTGTGCTTAGCAGAGAAATTGCTTTCTAGACTCTTCTCCTGCACGTTCACTCCTGTGTTGCCATATTTCATGACTAAAACCGTCCTTAACTAGACAACAGCTGTGCCACTTAGTTGACTAATTGACTAATCTATGCCACCCTGCGTATACAAGTTTCAAAACATACCATAATACCTAGGCCATGCAGTCCATGTATGGAGATTAAGCTTAAAAAAATAGCTGATTTTGAATTCATCATGGGCATGATGTCACAACCATGAACACATCTACAAATGACCACCCATTCAGCCTGCTGCTATTTTTAGCCCCACCCATTATGAAGTGATAAGGAGTGTTGTCTGTCAGGAAGCAAATGTATCATTGAAGCCTTCCAGACCATCTGCACATACAAAAATAGTGGCTGGCATTTATTTTTTCTTTTTTTTCCGAGGCACAATACAAGACAGGCAATCAGAATCGAGGTCATTTACATTTATCAGACTTGAAAGCACAGAAACAAAAACAAAGTTTCGGTCGAAAGCATTTTTTAATCAGTGCATTTTAATCTATTTATGGTGGAGAGGTACATGCAGGGTGTTGTAACGTGAAAATAGTCCCCAAAGAAAACATTTTTTCAGATTTACCACTATTTTATCATCATCAACGTTACATATAAAAACTCAGAAGACACGTGTAGATTCACTGATGGTTTTGGCTAGTGAATAAACAGCTATATTTACACTGTAGACATTGGGAGCTCTGGTTCTGTCAGCACCACAAGAAAATCTGTGTTGGTAATGTTCTCTATAAATGAATTATTTCACTTCAAATCACTCTGAGTGACTTTGTTTATATCTTAATCACTGAATTATGGAGAAATTTCGAAAATTCAGTGGAGTTCCCCTTTAAAGTAGGGGAATGAACAACTTTACTGACCCAGTGCCTCATTCTTAGCTGATGCCTGGACTGGTGTTTGGCTTCTGGTGGAAACTTCAGAAAGCTGGGGGACTGCAGTAGCCTGATGTAAATCCAGGTTATCAGAGCCTCATTTGCAGCTGCAGCAGGCAGACTCTCTTGGGCTGGAAAGCTGTGCCTCAGCGGATTCTGTCAGCCTTGAAGCGGGGGCAATTACCAGCAAATCAGTGCATTAATTAAGGGTCTGCAGGAGCGAGCGATGGTGAGGGTCCTCAGCACCCACCACGTGCTGGATGACAGAGTCAGCCCACTCTTCTGGGCCTGAGTAATCACGTCTCCCACCGAGATCAGAGGCGCACACATCCAGAAACATTCGAGAGCCGAGAGAAAAAGCTGCCATGACCCTCTGCCAAACCAATCACCTGGCAGTATGATTCATCCAGACATATGGGTTGCCCAGCGGACTTACTCATTACTGAATCTACTCAGGCTGGGAGCGAGCCAGACAGTGATTTGCTGGGGCACTGCCGTCATGCTGTATACTAAAGTAACTATGAGCGAATAGTAGCATGGGAAGGCCCTCATAGTCCTGTAATAGAGCCCTAAAGGAACAGCTCGGAGAAAAAGTTTTCCCATTACTAAGACATGTTTAGTGTCTGAAGTTTACTTCCTTGGCATTACACTAGAGCTACGAGGGTAGTGTAGCTAACTTGTGATGGAAACATTGTAACACACCAGTTAGCACTGTGCAAACTGCACGCCTGAATCATCACACGCCTGCCCAAACCACGCTGAGTTGTTGAATAATCTCAAATAGACTTGCTGTGGTTTCTGACACTGTATGACATACTGCTGTGGTATTCAAACTGAAGGAATTGCGGGGGGGGCGGGGGTGCATGTGATGGGATGGAAAAAATAAATATTTAAATGACTATCATAAGACCATTTTCTGTTTTCTTTTTTTGTAATCTGGAATTATCTTATTTTACAGTCTAAGGGGGGCATTTAGGAGCATATATTTCACCTGAAATTGGCTCTTTATGAACTCATGTGTGCAGAGTCACCCAGAGGCTTGTGAACATGGGTCATTTTCATACTGTATATGTAATTCTTAGTTGAATGTGATATAATTTAATTTTAATTCATTAGCCTGTTAAGAACAGGCAATAAACACCCTGGACAAATCAGACGATGTGGCCTGTTTTTATATGCTGCAGTTGTTTGCATACTGGCAAGTTTTTTTGGTGGGTGGTGGGGGATGTGCTCAAATACTGGGAAGGGGGCTTTATGGGGAAGAATTTGGAATGCATTACGGTCCAACAGTCTGAGACCACATTAAAAATCTGTGAGATTTTTTATTTCAATTTAGAAATAATCAACATATGTTCAGAATTTTCTATTTTCTATAGTTTGTACTGAAAGAAAAGAAAAGAAAAGAACACAAAATAGAAGCATTTTTGCTATTGGTCTTAAATTTTTGAAGCCCACTGACATACTGTTGTCTATGAAAATAGTTAAAAGTACACCACATAGCTAAAAGCAGTAGCAGCAGGCATAGCAGGCATAGCAGGCATACTAAGGCCTGAATTTTGTTTGTATGTTTTTAGATAACAGTGTCATACAGGGTCAGAACCCACATAAGCAAGCCCATTTAAAATAGCATCTTGACATAAGTTAGGCCAGAGAAATTATAAAGGAGGAGGAGACAGTTTGCTGGATGAAAAATTAATGGGAAAAATCGTAACACTAACGATGGTGTCTGTTAATGGGGAAAGTCCCGGCCTTCAATAAAAAGAGCCAGTTGACTTGCTGGTAAAGCCTTCATTACTTGGCAGCAT